TTCCTTTCCTCCCATCCAGCCCATGCTCCCCTCTTGTCCAGCAGGTAAGGGCAAACAGCAGTGAATCAACTGTCAGAAGAAAACCAATGGCTTCATGAACTTGGTCTTCCGCCTCCCATCTAGTTTCCCTTCATCTCATGCCAACAAGTGGCATTTTGCCCAGGCTGTCACCATGCCCTGCATGCACCAGGAAAAACAGAAGCAAAACAAGTGTTGGGGCCAAGAGAGCCTGACATGTTTTAGCCAGAGGTCTTGGTGTGGTTGCCTTGGGCAACATCTAACTTATGATTTCCTCTGTCTGAGTGTGTAAGCGCTTGTACAAAAGGGTTCTTCAAGTTCCTGATTCTCTAACATGCTCCTACTGCAGATTCCTCTATGGAGCTGAGAAAGCCTGCCAGGCTCTTTCCATAAAACCATACCCTAACTCCCCAAGGTCGGCAGTGGAAGAGGACTCTCCACCTGGGGGGCGTAACAGGATTCACGGCCCCAACTCTTGTCCTCCAGTTTCACCTCTCCCTTGTAAGCTGCACCCGCCACCTCGGCTTCACCAGCTCAGGCTCAGGGAAGGCACTCCTTTCCAAGTATGAAGGGAAGCTTGTCTTAATTCTCCCTTGCTTGGCCAATTCCAGGATGCTGCATTCATTCAAACTTCTCAGAAGACCCCAAACCAGAAAGTTCAAAATACTTCTTTCAAAAGGGCTTCTATCAATAGATAAGGTGGTCTGGGAGCCCAGGCCCATCTCCATCTGTCTCCCTACCCGCCTAATAACTGCATCTTCAGATCCAAATATACACTGAGGTCACAGGCAAGGACAAGCCCCCTTTCCATCCAGCCTGAGACCTGCCTTCCCAGGTCCACCCTCTCCTCTGTAGAGACTGGCCGATAGTGGCAGCACTCACTCCCTGCAGGGAAAAATCCTGCAGGAAAAAATCCAGAGTTTTGGCTTGGGAAGACCACATCCGAACATTATCCAATCTCTGTGCCCAAACAAACCTCCACAGGGAAGAGGTGGAATTGTGTTAGACAAGCTCTTTCTTTCACTTCCCACCAGAATATGGCTACCTAAAGTAACAGAACAGAATTCCTTTGGAAGAGGAACCAATGAGACAATTTCATCCTTCTGTTAGGTGGCGAGTGTTTATATTCATAAGCTGTTAGATTGAAATGCATGGTAGAGATGACTCAATGAAATGGAGTCATTTGACAGGTAGGAAACTGAGGCCCAGAAAGGGAAAGTGATCTGCGTAATGTTGGCTAGTGGTAAAAGTGACTCTAGAATCCAACTCTTATGAGTCTCAACCCAGCACTCTTTAGCATATTGATCCCTGCTGTATAGTGGAGCACAGAGACTTGTTATTTTAAACCTTAATTCAAACAGAGATCAAGTTGCTACAATGTGGAAGAAAACTTTTCATGGATCATCAGTGAATCCAAAATGGCAGTCTAAAATCTCCTGGGATAAAGGGCTCTAAGCACATGAGTGTAACAGCAGAGGAAACATATTTCAGGTTGTTCCTAATGCTAGTCATTTCTAACTCCTGGATGCCACTTACATTAATCCTTTTCTCCTGCCTTTCTGCCTCCATTTGAGTCGACCTAGTCACCATCATTTCATCATTCAGATACACTCTTGCCTTAAGAATAAAGTCCCAGATGCTCAACATGAACCAGAAGGTTACATGTGTCCTGATATCATCTTGCTTTTCTAGCTTTATTCCGTTTTACCCTTCCCTTCAGTCTCTCTGCTCCAGCTGGGCATGGCTTCTCAAAGCTCCTCAAATAGGTGTAATCAGTCTTTCTTTCTTCCTGCCTCCCTCCCTCCCTCTCTCCCTGCTTCCCTTCCTATCTTTCCTTTCCTTTCCCCTTTCTTTGTCTCTCTCTTCCATATGTGTGTGTTAATCGCTCAGTAGTGTCCAACTCTGCAACCCCATGGACTGTAGCTTGCCAGGCTATATGGAATTTTTCCATGAAAAATCCATGAAATTTTCCAGGCAGTAATGCTGGAGTGGGTTGCCATTCCCTTCCCCAGGGGATCTTCCCAACCCAGGAACCAAACCTGGGTCTCCTGTATTGCAGGCAGATTCTTTGCCGTCTGACTCACCAGGGAAGCTCTGTTCCCTATAGAAAGCTTCTTCTTTCCACCTAGATCAGCGGTTCTCACACAAGGGTGATCCTGCCCCTCCCAGGGGACATTTGGTGATATCTGGAGATATTTATTTTTTTGCTTGTTTCAACTGGCATCTAGTTGGTAGAACACAAGGATGTAGCTAAACATCCAGCAATGCACAGGACATTTCCCCACCCCCACCCCCCTAACAAAAAATAACATATTGATAGTGCCGAAGTTGGGAAACACTCAACCTTTGGAACCCAGCTTAAACACCACTTCTTCCAAGAAGCCCTTCCATGATACTTGATATTGGTTTAGGGCCCCTCCCCCCTCAGTAGGCTCCTACTCATCACTTCTCTTTCATAGCCCTTGGCACATGGGAGTATTTGAGATAATGTACCATCTGCTTTCCACTGCAGTGTATTAGCTCCAGGATGGAGTGGAGTGTTAGGTTCATCACCTCATCCCAGCGCCCTATGCGGTACTCTGAAGTTAGGCATCATTTTTTGTTTTGTTGACCCTAGGACACAGAGGAGGCCAGTTTACACATGTGCCCTGTCTTTTACCAAGTGACATGGTTTCTAAGGGCTTCACACGCAGACCCACAGATACCTGAGACAAGAGCACGGTCTTGGGAGCCAGGTGGAAGTGGGAGGATATCACAATTCTGCCACCTCCAGCAGGTTACTTAATTTCTCTGGAACTGGATTTCATCATCAGTAAAAGAAGCATAACATAGAACCTGTCTCCTAGAGTTGATCTGAAGATGAAAAGATGAGTACCACCTCTGACGTAGGGTAAGAGATTAATAATTGAGAGGAAGTAAAAGCAGTGGGACAATAGACCCTTAGACCTATTCTAAGGGTCTCCTGTAGCCCCCAGGCCCTGGGTAGTGCGCAGAGGAATGTGGATGGGACATCAAGAGACTGCTAGTCAATCTGTCTTTCTTAACTTCTTCAACTCTAAAATGTGCCTACCAACACCTCATCTTACTTATCCCGTGGGCTTGTTATATGCACTCCAGATAACTCCACACCCAAACAAGAGAGGTGCCTAAAAATTACCTGTAGGAAGGGCTGAGTACAATCCAGACTGTCTTACCTCCTCCACCCTTGGTCTTCTTAAGAGCTCTGGCCTGCCACCCTTTCTTACCTGGATTCCCCATCTCCATCCAGACGTTTGGAAAAGCAGCCTGTTTGAATTAGAGCTCACCCCAGACTCCTCCATCGTCCTGGGCTCTGCCTCTAGTGCTGGCCAGGCCTCCACCCGCTGTAACCTGCCTGGCCCCACCTCCCACACAGCCTGGACCCTGGTCCACAGCCAGGTCTCACAGCCCACACCCGATCAGCAGGGGAATTCCAGACACTTGCACCGAATGAGACCTGGAAATTGATTGCTATCATTTTTTTGCTCAAGGAGGGGGAGGGGAAGGACTTCCCATTTTCAGGCCTTTTTGCTTCCCCCCCAATTTTAGACATTCAAAACCTGTTTTTAAAAGAAACAAAGGTCCTCTGCCTTGCTCGGGTCAGCAGACAGAAGTGTCTGTTTGAGAATGGAGGGCTGGACAGGAAGAAGACTCTCAGCAGAGAACAGAGGACAGGAGATGGGACACAGAGACGTTTCGGATAGGCACCCCTGTAGCCCTGGGGGCAGCGCTTGGAGCCAAGTCCCACACAGGGAGCAAGCAGCCAGTGAGGTTCAAGGCCCTTGACAGAACTGCCTCCGCAGAGCTGTGAGCGCCAGGGCAGACTCCAGCAGTATGGGGGTAGGGCAGGGGGCAGACGGGCCTGGGCTCCACTGCTGAGGGAGGGGAGGGGAGTGTGCTGGTGGCATCCCGGCACGATGGGCCCGCCCATGCCCACGGGACGAGCAGCCTGCTGCTTCTGTCAGCAAGTGTGACTTTCTGCCTTGTGGCTGGTGGAACCTGGTGGGGCAGTTTCCAGATCTGGATTGCTTCTCTTCCATTTCCTGGTTCTCATACCTTCCACTCAGTCTGCAAAAGAGGATGTTTCTCATTTGGGGTTTTTTTTTTTTTTGGTCCAAACTGCTTGACGAAAGATCTGGCCTCTTAATCAGCAGTTCAGATCCCTGGGAAGTTACTTAAGGAATCAAAACAGCTCTAGTTAGACCCCCTAAAGATTAAAATCTGTGACTTGCCTCTATCCAGAGGATGGTTCTTTCACTGTGGGAGAAACCTTAGTGCAAAGGACCAGGGCATCGGCAGCCTCCCCCATCCCACCAGCCAGGTCTTGGCAGGAAGCAACAGTTTGACCTCCCAAGTCTCTGCTTTTATTTGCTTTGAAGAAGGTGCCCTGCTCCCCACGCCACCCTTTTGAAACATTCCTGCAGTGTGTATAACACATCTTTTTGTCTTCCGTCAATGCTTGCTAAATGCTTGAGTGGTAGAACGGAAGCCAAGGGAGCTCAGAAGGGCTGGGATTAGGGTGAGGTAAATGAGCACCCCCGCACCCAGGGCACAATATATAAGGAGGCGCTCAGTCTCCAGGTGCAGGCTTCCTCACCCTGACCCTGGCCCTATGACTGACGCCTGGCGAGAGAAAGCTTCCAGGGGAGACGGTTTACTCAGAGATGACTGAAGGGGCCCCACATAGGCAATGGCCAGCCTCAGTGGGGAGCACAACTCAACCCATAATACAAGGCCAACTAACTTGCTCATTGAAGGATAAATGGCTTGTTGATGGTGAAACTGCATCCTAGAACCCAGGATCATTTGATGACAAATTCCATGGCATAGAGCCCACTGTAAAGCCCGGGCATCTATAGTATATATACCTTTACTGGTCCGAGAGGAAGAACCAGAGAGAGACATTCAGAGGCTGCCGCTGTTGTGTTGATGGCACCTTCCCTTTTTGCCCCCTTCCTCTGCAGCCTGCCTGCTCCAGGCTGAGCTGGTGAACTATGAGCGGGTCAAGGAGTACTGCCTCAAAGTCCTGAAGAAAGAAGGGGAGAATTTCAAGGCCCTTTACCGGTCCGGTGTGGCCTTCTACCACCTTGGAGACTACGACAAAGCGCTCTACTACCTGAAAGAGGCAAGAACCCGACAGCCAACAGGTAAGGCAGCAATTGTTCTTTTCGCCAACAGCCCCCAGGGGCAGCTCCCAGACCATCTCACCTCCAAGGTCAGCTTTTTCTGGCTGGCAGGGCCAGGCAGGGGTAGAAATGGCAAGTGAGGGGCCAGGTGACTGCTAGGTCTTGGAAGAAGCAGAGCACACAGAGTCCGTGCCTTTGGGATCTGAGTTCCAGGGAGCTTGGGCACCTCTTCTGTTTAGATAGGATATGGATTTCTTCATTTTTCCAACCCAGAATCCAGCCCTCTTTACTTATTCATTGAATCCATATTGCATTCTTACTATGTGCCAAGATTTGTGCTGGCTGCCAGGGATGTAGATAAGAAGATGCAGTCCCTATGCGTGAGGAGTTCACATTCTGGTTGATGAGACAGAATACAAATGGATAATTTGGAGGGTAAGCCCAACATTCTTCCAGGAAGAATGCTCCTCCAGGCAGATACCAGATAACAAGAGCATGCATTATCTGTACCATTCACTTAAGTCATGGCCACCAGCCCCACCATTCATTCATGACACAGATATATACTGAAGCAGGGCCAAGAACTCTTCCAAGTGCTGGGCAAATAGCAGGGAATGATGCTCAAAGATGATGCCTTCAAGGAGTTTGTGTTATAATGGAAGAAGACGGACACTAAACAGACAGATTGATAATGTAATGTTTAATAGTAGTTAAGTGCTATAAAGAAAATAAAGCAGAGTCAAAGGATAAAGACTAAAGTGGGTGCTATTGCAGACCAGGTGGTCAGGAACACCCTCTCTGAGGAGGCATGTTTTAAACCTTGACTTTGACTTGCTGTTGCCATGGTTGTTCATATGGCTGATTTTTAAAAAATGCAATTCTCCTTCCAAGGAATCTTGTTAGAATGAATTTACAAATACCCAATATACTTTTTTCTTTTTTTTTAAGAACACTAATATCTTTATACGTTGTTGATTTGTTTTCTGTATACAATTTGTTTTCCCCCAACTACACTATAAGCAACTTGAGGACCAAGAATGAGACTCATTCAACAGAATTTTCTTGAGTACCTGCTATATGTCAATACCGTTCTGAATGCCCTGCCTGGCATTTTGGGATATTATACAGCATTCCTTTCTACTCCTGGAAGTAGACATCTCAGGCAGCCCTGAAACTCTTATATTCTGGTGTGTATGGGGCTAAACAGCTATTCTCTGTCCTTTCCCACTCACTAACTTAAGGATTGGAATTGGAAATTCTTCTATTTGTGGTCAGGTGGTTGCCTAGAAGAGCAAAATCGGACAATGAAGCACAAGTCCTTTTAAACTCTCCAATTAAAAAAAATTACAATCAGTCAATATTTACTGATCATTTGGATTGAGTGCTTTTAGACATCTATTTTGATCCTCTCAGCAGTTTTGTGAGGAAGGTTTTACAGTCCCTGGGAGAGGCAGCCTTTGGAGTCAGGTGCAGTGACTATGTGTTATCTCCTTGGGCATCTGACTTGATCTCTCCGGTTTTAATTTTCATCACAGTCAGGATGATGAGACATACCTTACAGGATTCTAATGAGGGCTCATTGAGACAGTGAAAGTTAAAAACATGACCCAAAGTAGACACTCAAAAATGGAGGTTGTTTCTTGCAAGACAAGACAGGAGACTCAAAGAAATGGGTAGGCTGCCTGAGGTTAAACAGTAGCTAACTCTGAACTAAAAGTCTCAACTCACTGAGTTGACTGAGGACCACTGGGATTGCTACTGCACAGAAATAAGGGAAGAAATTCTCGCTCCTGTCCTCTCCTTCCCATCTGTCCTCTGGGTCACGGGGACCTGTCCCCATGGAGGCAGGGAAGGAGAGGAATTGCACTCCAGTTGCCTTCTCGGTCACCCTGGACCTTGGCTGAGTGAGCCTGACCTGTCCGTGATCTGCAGATGCAGCTTCGGTCTGATCCCCTGTAGACCCACCAGTCCCCTCACCAGCTGTTCCCTAAGGTGTATTTCTCTCCTCACAGACACCAATGTGATTCGATATATCCAGCTGACGGAGATGAAACTCAGCAGATGCTCCCAGAGAGAGAAGGAAGCCATGTAACCAGAACACCTTTCTAGAGCTGCGCCTTGCCCGGGACTCCCAAGCACTGCGTGGTGGAGAGACCCTCCCTGGGTTCTGTTCCTTTCTCCTCACTTCCTCCTCCTATTACCCCTCATCTCCTTATCTACTCTCTTTGTGCACGGAAGGAGACCTGCGGGTTTGGAATCTGGTGGGCTGCCCCGACAGTGGAAGACAGCCTCCTTTCAGGAGGGGCAGCCGCTGAAAGAGACCCGGCTTTGACGGGAACAGCCGGAGAGGACTGTCACAGGTTGGGAGTGCCATTACAGCTTCGACTTGGGCCAGCGCTCCTGACAAGAGGCAGAGCCCGGCAGGTGGACCCTCCCCGAGGCGTCAGGCATGGAGCCCACGGGCTGGGCCCCTCCACAGCTTCTTCACAGACTGGAGCATCTCACGGCAACTGTGATGAATCCAGGAGCCAGACAGACACCAGAGGCATCGGTTAAGCCCACAGAGTCCGAGAATTTGTACACTGGATTTCTGCACACACACACACAATGCCCGCCCACCACCCCCAAGAACCCTCAGCCCCTGCCTCCCTCCTTCCCTCGTTGACTCGTTCTGTGCTTTCTCCTCTCCCCCTTGGGGATATGAGACTCCGCCAGGATTCACATGCCATCGAAACCCACTCTCAGTGCCCGCTGGTGACCACACATACCATTCCCCCAGACTCCCGCCCAGCAGGCAGCTGTGACTGCAGAAGGTCAGGGTAGAGTGGGCCAAGGACTGACCACATAGGACTGGGGGGAGGGAGAGGTGACGACTAGGGGACAGAGCATCGTGTAGACTGGGAGACTGAACTGTGGACGAAGTTAAGTGTGAATAAAAGTAAATGAACAGGCAGCAGTCCCTGTCACTTCTGTTGGAAGCAGCCCACTGCCTCACTTTTACTCCCTCCCCCAACCCTCAGTCAGAGTTACTTACAGCCAGGCAGGATGGGGCTTCCCCGAGGGCAATGGGCCACTTGTCCAGTGGTGTGCAATGCTGGCTGCGCCTTTGTGCTTTTAGAGTAGGCTGGGATTGTGGAGACTGCCCAGGGACTTGGCTGGGTGGGAACCTGTAAGCCCCTTTTTGATGAAATTATCTGGACTCAATATCTAGCACGTAGAATGCGTTCAACAAATATTTGTTGACTGAGTGAATGATGACTGCAGACTGGTTCTCCTGCCTTAAACTCATTTTATCCCAGCCTAGGCTTCAGATACCTATGCTCTTTTTGCGATGCCATGTAGCTTCAGTCAAATAAGAAACATTTACTGAGGGCTTCTTGTTTGCCTGTCATTGTGCAATATGCCCTGGGACGAAGGATGTAGCCCCGGTCTTCAAGGAGATGGAAGAGTTGATAAATAGTCGTAGGAGATTATTACCAATGACACCTTTAATTTATATGATGCTTTAAGATTTTCAAAGCACTTTCATGTATTTTTTGTGTGATCAGTGAGACAATACTGTACAAATTAAAATATATACAGATGCAATAATGTTAATAGTGAGCATTTATTAAATGCATTCTCCTCAGATCTTTACATGTATAATCTCATTTCTTTCATGTAATTACCCTACTATTCCCATTTGATGGATAAGGAACCTGAGAAACAGAAAACTTGTCCAAGGTTGCATGGCCTTAAGTGGCATAGCTAGGATTTGAACTGAGTCTGTCTGACCCTAGAGTTTCAGCTGTTAACTACTCTGTAGTTAGTTGCTGCCCTAAAAAGTACTGGATTGGCCAAAGATTTCATTCGGGATTTTCCATAAGATGTTATAGAATGAAATTTTTGACCAATTCAATATTATATTGGATAGTTGTTGTTGTTTGGTCACTAAGTCATGTTCGATTCTTTTGTGACCCTGTGGATTGTAGCCTGCCAGGCTCCCCTGTCCATGGCATTTCCCAGGCAAGAATACTGGAGTGAGTTGCCATTTCCTTCTCCAGGGGATCTTCGCAGGACAATATGTGTGACAAGCCCTGATGATGCCAATGATGGTACATGGGCCACCTTTTGCTATTTAGCCCTAGTTGAAAAATGGTCCCTAGCACTTGACTCCCTAGTGGTAGAAAAGGCAGCTGAGACCTAGCAGTTATTTCTGTGTATTGTTCATTCTACTTGCTGATGGGCCAGTGTGTATCCCAACAATCCACCAAGCATTCCTCACTCCACCCCCAGCTTTGGGAAAGAGTCACAATTATAGGTAGAGAATGAAAGGAAACACAACGTTAATTATGGGTTATTTATTTAATCAGAGGCTTCAGCACTGCAGGATCCAATCACTGCTCAGGGTCCAGAAGCCAGCAGCACAGGTTATATTCACACAGTTCCTCAAAGACTTCCAGTGGGGTCTGCAAAAAGGTGCTAGAAATATCCAGGGTCTAGCAGCTGCTTGCCTGTAGCTCACCCTCTGGAGAAGGGAAACAGGGGAAAAAACTGTTACTGCTGCCACATTCTCCCCAATCTCAACCATATCCTTCTCTCTGTTCTCTTCCTCCAAAATGGTTTCACATGACCCCAACTCAAGACCATGTACACACAGTACAGGCAAACGTGCAAACCTCTCCCCTTCCCAAGCCTCCATCCCAGAAAGTCTGTGAGTTGGCAGACTGCTCGTTAGGATCTAAAGAGTGAAGATGAGGTCAGAGGTGGCCTGAAGAACCAGTTCAAATTGGCAGGGTCTCTCTTTGGTCTTCACGCAGTGAGGAAGGACTCAGGAGCTATTCTCAATGTGGAGCAAGAGAGGGTCTTGCTCACCGAGAGTTGGGGCAGGGCTGGACAGGTGATGTTAAGATTGTTGCCATCCTTCCCAGAAGTAGTTGAGGACAATTTTGTGGGACCTCATAGAGCAAGTAACCAGGCCATCTGCTTGTCTAGTGATGTAGATACGCATGCTAGGAACTCCATTCACTGTGACACAAGTTCACTGATCCCAAAGGAAGAAGCTGCCTGGGGACATGTTTGAGGTGGTGGGACTGAATTTTCTGTGCATTGGTCCAGAGACTTCAGACAGCTGGTTTGTTCACCTTACCAAACTTTCAGCTTCCTTCTCCTCATCCCGCCCCCAAACAGGGACTATCATTTAATACATGTTTTGTTTGCAAATGTCACTACTGAGCTGAACTTGGAGTGCTCAATCTGGATTTGACCTGCTTTGTCATCTCCTGCTGGGACTTTGGTGATAGAGACTTTGGAGAAAAAAAAATTACACTTTTGTTGTAATTATTATGAGAGCCTCGGAAGTGTATGGTAGAAATATTAGGGGGAAAAAAGACAAATTCTGCCCCATAATCCTACTACTGAAGGCAGATGTTGTTATCCTTTTGAATGTTTCTTTTTGGTATAAATGTACACATGCACATCCTTTTTAAACAGAAACTGGATCATACTGTACATACTCCTTAATAACTTACTTTTCAAAATGTGTATTTATATTTTAGAATATGTAATACATACACAGGTACAAAGTTCAAGAAGTACGAAAAAGCTCTAGCATCAGAAGTAAATCTCCTTCCCACCCTATGTGCCAGCCTCTAGTTCTTCAACTACTTCTATCTCCTTACAGAGACAGTTACGCATTTTCAAAGTTCTGTATCTATTTTGTCACAATTGCTAGCATGTTGGACACTTTCCGCACCTTGTGGTACTTCATTCACAATATCATGAACATAATATGTTTTGTGCATCTCCCAAGTGTTTTCAACAGCATCCTCATTGGGTGAGTGGACCTTCATTTGGTAACCAATCTTGTGATAGTGATTATTTCATCTGTTCCCAATCTTTACTGTAAATAATGTTGCAACAGACATTCTCATAGCTAAAATTTGCACATATCTAGGACTATTTCCTTAGGGTAAAATCCAAGAAGGAAATTATTTGGCTATCTTTAAGAAATTTGATATATGTTACCAACTGCCCTTCAGAAAGTTTGTACCAAAGCACTCTTCTTTTGCAGGCTTGAGAGTGCACTGCTCCCTGCACCCTCACTGCTAGTGGGTATTATCACTTACCAAATCTTTACCAATTTGATAGGAAAATAATAGTGTATCAATGTTACATGAATTCACACTCCTTTATTAGTGAATAGCACCTTCACGTGCTTATTGGCCATTTGTACTTCTTTGTGATTTTTCTATTTACTTGATATTGGTATGTTTATCTTTGTTATCAATATGTACTTTTATTAAGAATATTGTTTTTGGCGAGAAACATTGCCAATATGCTTTCCAAGTGCTTTGCTTTCAAGTTTTGTTTATGGTGCTTTTTGACATACATAAATTCTTAATTCTACAATTAATTTGTTCCTCTGTTGCCAGCTTCTTCTGCTTACTCTTCACTCTCTCATTTCTATCAGAATGGTCCTTCCAAGACACAATCCGATTATGTCACTTCAGCTTAAAAATCTTTATTAGACTCCTCATCACTTTTAGGACAAAGGCCAGACTCAGCATAAAACACACGGTCTTTCAAATGATTTCTCACACAGACTCACCTCCTGGTCCTCTTCTCCAAATCCCCTACATTCCAGTGCTACATAGCTTCTTGTGATTCCCTGAGCCCATTGTCCTAGGGTCTCTTGGTCTTCCCATGCTCTTCCCTCCACCTGGCTGGCTGTGACTTGCCCCTCCAACCCACTCTTTGCCTTGCTACCTCCTATAGCATTTGTCAGGGCTCACTGCTTGAAAGTCTTCCATGACTGCTTAGTCTGCATTCATAAAACAACATGAGCCTACCTCTGCCCAGCATTTGCTACAAACAGGAATTAGAACTTCCTATTTCTGTTTCTCTGGTCCACTACCTGGATGTTCCTCAAGGCAGGTACTGTGGTTTATTCATTTTCACAGCTAGAATGCCTAGCACAATGCCTGGAACATAGTAAATGCTCAGTAAACAAATGGGCATTGAACCTGGAATGAATGATGGATTCAGTGGCAAATATCACTTGAAGTAAGTGTAGAGTTGGACTGAATCTGTCCTTCTGAGAACTGAAGAAAT